TCATTTGCTTCACTTTCCCTCGATGAATCTCATTCTGTCTGTACTTATGTACACTCATTTGCTTTTTTTTGTCTTGATAAGATGCACATTTTCTATAAGTAATTTTACTGGTCATTTTCTTATCCTCCTGGTGCACCAAATCTTGTTTATATCTACTTCTGATTTGTGATTTCATATTTTCCCTATATGCCAATTGGGTTGAATACTGAACATGTTTGTTCCAGGTCTTTTTTCGATTTAAATACGTAGAGAAATTGTGTGGACTTTTAAGAGTTTCTACATTTTTTTCTGCATTTACAGGTATTCTTTTTCTAGAACGTAGGTAGTGTTTCTCTGATAAATCACTGACTTTACAAAATCCAAAGCAAGTTTTATCATCAACCCCTTTTAGACAAATAACTGGTTGAAAATGACCAATACAGTTTTGTAGATATATTCCTTCATTGTTGAAATGACTGCTGTTGCAACTATATTTAATCCACTTTATGCCAGTAAATATATAAATGTGTAGTCCCAACATATTTGCTGTTGCTTTAATTTCAATATCTGTTGCACAGTGATCTAGATACTTGATCTGTGACTTGTCAACATATTCTAACACAGAAGCAAAGTCTTTTCCCAGGAACTTTTCAAATTCCTGTGTATTATTTGTCATGTATGAAATAGCAGCAAGCCGAATTTTACGATGGTTTTTTTGAGAACCACTAACTGTATGAGCAACAGCTCTGAAGAAGCTGTTATTGTCTTGTACTATATTTTTAGTTTGACACACATTTCCTAAAGACCCAGATGTAGGTTTTGGAAAATTGTATTTGTCAAAATCAATATTCAACCTGTTGCAAAGAGCTTGACCAAGATTAGCAGACAGAGGAGTAAATAAAAACGTGTTTTCATCATGATTATCAATAATTTGAACACAATCATCATTTTTTGGAAACCTCACTTCATCTTTGTCAATTTCCACAGATACAACCTTATGTTTGGCAGAAGATTGTCGAGTTGTACGGTTTTGTGAAACATCTTTAGTCATGCAATAACCATAGCATGTTTGTGAATTAGGTGATTTAACACAAACAACTGTTTCATAATGATTACCATTGACATTTTGCAAATAAATGCACTGATTTGTTGAAGTACTCTGAGTACTATATTCAAGCCATTTATCAGTACAGTATGTCAATATGTTAAGGCCCAAAAAATCAGCTGAAGCTTGAATCTCAACTTCAGTTGCCCAACTGCCAACATACTGCATCCTTGATAAGGCTAGATATTCTGACATTGAAGAGTAGCCACTTCTTAAAAAACTCTCATATGTGTGTGAACTTTTCTGTAAATGCTTTACAATAGCATGCCTAATTTTTTTATGGCCTTTCTGTGTGCCACTAATCGTTTGACTAACTGCTCTAAAAAAGCAGTTTCCATCTGCCACTATCTCATGTGTTAAACATGGCACACCCAGTTCTCCAACTGGACCTGATGGAAAATTTGTTTGCTCAAACTCTAAATTCAACTTTCTGCACAGCGATTGAGCAATTTGTTCAGAAAGGGGGTTAAAATACAAAACCTTGCTTTGGATATTGCTTTCAACAATCACTACATCGTCATCGTCAGTATTATCCATTTTCATATTTTGTGCTGATTTACGTACTTTCTTGGCTTTTTTGCTTGCATAGTTTTGTTTCTCGCCTGTACATGAATTTTCAAGCGTGTAACCACTGCTGGAATTATTATCACAAAAACTGGTGGTGCTTTGAACTGAAGTTAAATGTTCAGATATATTTTTAATCAAGTCTGTCTTCATATGTTGTGCCGTTTTAAGTTGGGAGAATTGATCGGGATTTTTGCTTGCGCACTCTTGTACCTCTGGTACACATGCATTGCCAGGGAGATCACCACAGGAAAAGTCATCACCAAAAGGATCAGTGCTGTCTTGAAGAACTATTGTACATTCAGATACATTTGTATTTGAGTCCATCGGAATAATATCAATTCCAGTGATCTCAAACTCCTTGGAACTGTATGTCAGTTCATTGGCAAATTTGTTAACATAGTTAAAGACATCGTGAATAGTACTGAAGTACAAAACAACACTGTTCCCATCTGCATCTACCATGCCTTCTTTATTGCGGGCATGAGAGTCCACGATAGCATAACTATCATTCTGTCTGATGACAGCACAAGTACTGCTGCTCAGGGTTAGGCAGCAGGTTTCATACTTTGCACACATCTTGTTCAGTCCATCCCAAAGACTAGTCACGACGTTACCATGAATGAAATCTCCTTCCACCAGATCCACATTTCCACGAACATAGTCTTTAGAATAAACATAGTCATAAGTCTGTCCATAAAACTTATGTTTTTTAGGCAATTCAGACATCAAGAGAAACCCTCCTGGATCACTGATTGACTTTCTATCAAGCAAATCATTATACAGATCGTCACCTGCAACCAGGACATTATCCAACACGTTAGCATTCCATGAAAAAACACTCTTCTGCGTGTGCTTTGTTAAAGCTGCCAAACTTATGGCTGCACACTGCTTTCCGCCCTTTTTAAATCGACCATCACCTTGATGAAATGATCCACTGAGTGATGTGAGGTGATTACTTGCACTGAAACGATGACAAGCATGTGTAACCTGTCTTTCAGCAGTTCCTGTTGAACATTTCTCCATGTCAGTGTACGTGTGTTGTACGGAAATGGGAGAAAGTCCAGACTCAAGTCCAAGTTCCACTTGACTTGATTTGTTTTTTGTCACAGTCAATTTGTTTTTGTGCATCTGTCGTTTCTTGGTTTTTGTGCAATTGGCACCCAGAACCTCTTGTCCACGGTCATGTTTCAATAAAGTACTGTCAAAATGCCCTGTTGTAGTTTGATCAGAAATGTTCAATGAAGTGTTGGCACCATAGCATCCACCTGTAGCCTCTCTTTCTGCAATTTCTGATGAACATTCCTGCACATCAAAGTTGGTCTGTTCGACAGAAATGGCAGAAATAGAGTACTTTCTTGCATCTAAAGAGTCCCGAAGGTTCTTAATGTGCAAGATTAAATCATGTAGACATGTGTTAAACACAACTACAGATGTACCATATCTGCTGTGTGATGCCAACCCTTGTGGATTGCGTCTTCCACAGTCCACAACAGCAAAGTACTCTCCGTGCTGGATAACCAGAAGAGGTGCACCGTCAACATTCAAGATACACGTTTGATGTTGTGACAAGTGTTCAAGTATGTCGTTGGACAATTGCTCCTCTGTGTCAAAATCAAATGTACCAGAAGCCACGTTCCCATTGAAAATTTTCCACTTTCGACCAAAAATAGTTCGCTGCTCAACCGAGGTACACAACTTGTGAGTTATGCCTCTGTACCGTAGAGCAGCAGAATATTTTGCCAACTTAATCCCTTCCACATCCACTTCATCTAGATCTGATGGCTTCCAAGTACAAATGGGAGAAATGTTGTGTTTTTGAACTGCTACATAACAAGATGACATTAATGTAGCAAAGTTTGTTTTAGCCCAATTTGTTTCGGACCAAGACTCGAGTGTTCCTTGAATCACAGCACGTGGAGTACTTTCTGAACACACACAAGGAATGGGGTCAACAGACTGACCTGTGGGTGATGTTGGCGTGTCCTTCTCCTCATCAGGCGTCTAAAGTGAAAATATAATAAAAATGAGGTTTCAGTATTGTCACTACTTTTAAAAACCTATATATATCCTGATGCATACTATCTATCTATCTATATATCTATATATCTATATATATATCTATATATATATCTATATATATATATAT